GTCCCAGCGTCCGGCCGCTCTTCTCAGTAAATCAGTGTTTCCTAATACCCAATCTCCCCCGGCACAACTTTGCTCCATCACATAATGCCTGGGAGGAGAAGCTGACCCCCACCTCGCTACAGCTGCTTCCAGGCAGAGAGGGGCAAGGTCTCTCCTCAGGATGTTCTAAGACCTTCACCGTCCTTCTCCGGACACGCTCCAGCCCTTGTGCTGAGGGGCCCGGAGCTGAGCACGCTGCTCTGGGTGCAGCCTCGGCAGCGCCGAGCTCGGGGCACCGTCACTTCCCTGCTCCCTCTGGCCGCGCTATTTCTGGTACAGGCCAGGAGGCTGCTGGCCTGTTTGGCCAGCTGGGCCAGCCCCTTGGGTTCCTTCCTGCTGGGCAGCTTTCCAGCCGCTCTCCCCCCAGCCCGCGGTGTTGCTCGGGATCGTTGTGTCCCACGTGCTGAACCCAACGCTCGGCCTTGCTAAACCCCCCAACAGTTGCCCTTGGCCCATCAATCCAGCCCGTCCAGGTCCTGCTGCACAGCCGTGGGCAGATCAACACTCCCACCCAGCTTGGTGTCACCTGGAAAACGAGCGAGGCTGCACTCAACCCCTTCGTCCAGATCATTGATGAAGATATTAAAGAGACCTGGCACCAGTGCTGAGCCCTGGGGGACAACACTTCTGCTGCCAATTGGACACAGCTCCAAATAATAACCAGGAGGTGGGGAAGAAGCTGCCTCAGTTGGAAGAGCACGTCACTCCTCAGCAGAGGTGTTGTCCCTGTGACCCCCCGGCCTGGCAGCAGGTATAGATGGTCGGTGGGTGTTCACCCCTGGCACTGGTGCAGCTCTGGGAATCCCCTCCAAACTCCCAGAGCTGCACATGATTCATCCAGTTGGAGCACATCTTTACACTCGGTCTGGCAGCAGCTGTATTTTAAATGTGGGAAATGGGAAAAAGAGAAGAAGTGAGATTCCCATGTCTGTTGATGCCAAGTGCCAGGATCAGGAAGGGGTGTTTCAGGTGGAGATGCATCTCTGGAAGTGCAGCAATTTGAGTAGAAATATATGCTGCAATTTAAGCTTTCAATTTTTGGTATTTAAACCTGAAATCAACGTTTCAGGCACCCAGAAACTCCTGGTTACATAAATGCCACTTTGCAGGAGTGTTTTGTTTTCTATTAAACAGTAAAATTAAATCATGGAATTAATACCCACAGTCCAGAGGAAACAAAGCCCATGCAATTGCATCTGCCTGCTCGTGCCCCCCTTTCTGCCTCTACTGACTTTGATCCCATTGTGCAGTTTCAGCCACATGAGAAAGGAGGGTGGAAACTTCAGGCTTTGGGAAAAAAAGCAGTATCAGGGGGTAGGTAGAGACCCAGGTTAGTGCTCCCCCTGCATAACAGGCAGGCAGGACTGAGATGCAATGGATAATGTTACAGAGGTTTAGCTGTAGCCAGCTGGATGGTACGTATGTACGTAGTTATGGACTCACCAACCCCAGCTCTCACTTCATATCTGAAGGTTGTGTGAGAGGACTTTGGTGGAGGGTCTGGTTATTGCAACCACGAAGGCTGAGGGGGACAAATATAAGTGTAGAGGTATCCAGGCTCTCAGAACCAGTTACTCCATGTTTCCTTTTGCAGTAATCAAACCATGTTGTTTTGTTGTTGTTTTTGGGGTTTTTTTAAAGATGGTAGAGCAATAGGTTATTGAAGGTTAATTTATCCTTTCTAAATCCAAATGGACATTTTTTATGATTGGGGGGATTTTTTTGCTGTGTATAAATATCATGCACGAGGTGAGAAAAAGAGTAGGGAAGTAAATTTTGGTGTCAAGAGAGGACTGAGTGGTATATCTGTGTTTTCTGTCAACATTTAATTCACAACATGCCATCTGCTAAACTGGTAGCTATTGTTTTGGCAGCATATGCCACATAGCTGATTTTGTTTGGAAGCCATTGAGTAGAAAGTCACGTCTGAGTGAAAGACACTGCTCTCGTTTGTTATCGTGTTTGTGTAACTGAAAGCTGATACAAGTATTTTGCATGAGACTTGGCTTTTGGGAAGGCAGCTTGGTATTCTTGAGGGAAGAGGGAGTTTTTACACTACTGCAGGAGATGTTGTGCATACACCCCCCAAAGAATTGTCACATGGTGTATGGGAACACAAGACATTTACCTCACTGCACTGAGAAGTGCACTGGCTTATCACATGCACATCCTCCTAGCAGTTACTGTCATTAACTGACTCCATCCACACTGATAAAACTTCAGACACAAAGTCAGCCAGGGTCCTGACAGTGTTTTCCAGGTTGTGGTATGATGAGTTTATGCCAGAACACATTTGCCTGATAATGGTGGCTGCTGCTATTTCTCTAGCATTTCCCATTTATTTATTTATTTTAATAAAGGACAGATAAATCCCAGACATCATTGATCAGGGAAGAAATAATACACAGTGCAAAGTACACTGTTGGCTGCAGAGAAAATATTCTCTATATGAAGAGTTGTGGGATAAGGCTTCATGCAGAGAAAGAGAAGCAGAGAGGGATGTAGAAACAGGGTGGAGTTTTGACGTGAATGTAGGTGCTCCCCACACCAGCAGGTGCTGACTAACCAGATGAACTCTGCAGTAAGGGAAACCTTGGCCTGCTTACTGTGCCTTGCTTTATAACTGTGGGAAAGTGTCTTATTTCATCTTTAATGTCAATTTTATGTTGCTATCATCTGACCCAGCAGGATGTTGAAATGCTCAATCCATCAAGCCTCATAAAGTTGTCTGGCATCTTTTTATGGAAGAGGATTTATAAAAGAGTAGAACTGTAAACATATGTGGTATTTCTGAGTTACCTATCCTCTTAATATCTGCATATTTGAAAAGTAACCATCTAAAAAACCCTTCCTTTTCCACATCTGAGGTGGTTACTGAAGTTTATTTTCCCCTTCAAGAAATTCCTTTGGGATCCCACATGAGGTATTGTGCTGTATGCTGTGGCTATTCAGAACTTACTAGCAGTTTCTGCTTTTCTTGAGACTTGTATCTGCTTATTGTCTTGAGCTGCAGCAAAGCCAGTGTAGGGAACAGAGCCAGTT